AAAGAATGGCCACTCCGTAGACAGAGCAGGGTTTTTGTTTTTTGTTTTTTGTTTTTTTGTTTTTTTATTTCTTGATTATATGTGAAACAGAGGGTGGATTACTTATGCTTACCCTTTTTAGACCATAGAGGCATTTGTAAACTGTCATGGCTCTAATGGGAGTGTAACAGTGAGGATGACCAGAGGTCACTCGTCACCATCTTGGTTTTGGTGGGTTTTGGCCGGCTTCTTTACTGCAACCTGTTTTATCAGCAAGGTCTTTGTGACCTGTATCTTGTGCCAACCTCCTATCTCATCCTATGACTTAGGATGCCTTAACCATCTGGGAATGTAGCCTGGTAGGTCTCAGCCTTATTTTACCCAGCCCCTATTCAAGACGGAGTTTCACTGGTTCCAGTGCCTCTGAAAATAGGGGTAGGATTTGAAGCAAGCTAGGGGCCCTCAGAACCAAGGCCCTGACCAGCTGTTCTCTCCATCTGTCCCCCTTTTTGCAGAAGGTGAAGTGACCGTCTTAGAGCCAAGAGGGTGCATGAATACCTCAATGTCCTCATCCCTCTCTCTTTTGACTGGAGCCCATTCCCTGAAGTTTTATATTTCTGACACTGCCATTCAGGTTTATGATGCTTTTCCATGGGCTAGCTAATTAATTAGCCTTCTTGTGCCCATTGTTCTCATTTGTAAAACAGGAACAATAATGGCTGTCTTGCTAGGTTTTCCTGGGGATTTGACTTAACAACATCTAGTAGACCCTCGATAAATAATAGCTTTATTTCCAATATGGGCACAAGTTAGTTTCCGGGCAGCTATATTGGAACTGAACTCTCAATAGCAGGTTGTTTTCCACTGCTAATGGACTGGTAGCTTTCAACCTCATTTCCCTGAGATGGGCTTTTTTTGAGTTATTTAGTAAAGGTATGATTATGATCTGTGTTCTGTTACTTCTGGCTTCATCCCTAAATTGCAATTGAGAAAGATTTCTTACCCTTTAATCCGGTTTGGTGTTAGTTTAAGAAGCAGGGGCAGGAATGCTGGGTTTAAATTGTATGAATCTCATGGGCTTTTTTGAGTGTAGTTTAGGAACTTTCAGCTCCTCACTTTTCCTACCACTAAATAAGGCAAAGACAAGAGACTGTGTCTGTCTCACAGTTTAAAGGGATAAGTCTTATGATCATAAATTCACTCCAGGGTAAATTCACTCTGGGTGTGGTGGCTCACGCCTGTAATCCCAGCACTTTGGGAGGCCGAGGCAGATGGATAACCCAAAGTCAGGAGCTTGAGACCAGCCTGACTAACATGGCAAAACGCTGTCTCTACTAAAAACACAAAAATGAGCCTGCCGTGGTGGTGCGTGCCTGTCATTCCAACTACTCGAGAGGCTGAGGCAGGAGAATCGCTTGAACCCGGGGGCTGGAGGTTGCAGTGAGTTGAGATCATGCCACTTCACTCCAGCCTGGGAGAAGGAGCAAAACTCTGTCTCAAAAAAAAAAATACATTCTATATGAGCATGCTTGAGCTCTCCGGAAGAACCATCTGAAATGTAGTAAAACAATGAGAAAATAACAGGATTGAAATTAGCTGTAGGATAGCTCAGAGGAAAGAAGACTCACTAATTCAGAATGCATGAGTCTTCACTAAAGTAAGTGGAGAACAACACACTTCATCTCCGTAGACCACTGTGTCTTTTTATTGGTCTCTTACCCCACCCTGACCTCTCTCGCTGGAATAATTTCACTAAGAAAACAGAAGCTATTTTGATAAAGCCACAGATTTGCTAGTAGATTTGCATGTAGATTTCTCAATATCTTCCTCAAACAACAGTAAAGCTCAGTGCTGGAAGAAAGCTTCAAGATCTTGGAGTTCTACTCTTTTATCCTATGCATGTGAAAATTAAGGCCAGAGGCTGGCTGTGGTGGCTCACGCCGACCTAGCACTTTGAGAAGCTGAGGCTGGTAGATCTCTTGAAGCCAGAAGTTTGAAGCCAGCAAGGCCAACATAGTGAACCCTGTCTCTACTAAAAATAAAAAAAAGTTGTCTGGGCATGGTGGCACATACCTGTAATCTCAGCTACTTGGGACACTGAGGCATGAGAATTGCTTGAATCCAGGAGGCGGAGACTGCAGTGAGCCTAGACTGCACCATTACAGTCCAGCATGGTTGACAGGGTGAGACTCCATGGAAGAAAGAAAAAGAAGAAAGAAAGGAGGAAAGAAAGAAAGAAAGAAAGAAAGAAAGAAAGAAAGAAAGAAAGAAAGAAAGAAAGAGAGAGAGAAAGAAAGAAAGAAAGAAAGAAAGAAAGAAAGAAAGAAAGAAAGAAAGAGAGAGAGAAAGCCAGACAGAAAGAAATAAAGAAAGAGAGAAAGAAAGAGAGAGAGAGAAAGAAAAGAAAGAAAGAAAGGAAGGAAGGAAGGAAGGAAGGAAGGAGAGAGAAGGAAGGAAAGAAAGAAAGAAGAAATAGAGAAAGAAAGAAAGAAGAAAGAAAGGAAAGAAAGACAGAAAGAAAGAAAAGAAAGAAGAAAGAGAAAGAAAGAAAGAAAAAAAGAAAGAGAAAGAAAGGGGAGGGAGGGGAGGGAAGGGAGGGAAGGGAAGGAAGGGAGGGAAGGGAAAGGAGGGAAGGAAGGGAAGGAAGGGAAAGGGAAAGGGAAAGGGAAAGGGAAAGGGAAAGGGAAAGGGAAAGGAAATTAAGGCCAGATAGAAAGTCACTTGCTCAGGGCACTTGCTGGTGAGCTGGGACTAGACCCAGCCCAGCCTGGTGCTTTTTGTGCAACCAGTTCCACGTCATCACTACATTAGCCTCTGCTAGTCCATATTTCCAACTACAATTGACAGTGAGATGGTTGTTTCCAGTTCTTTGTGTTGAGTTAAACGGGACTTACGTCTAGTATGTATAAATGTGACATCCAAGCTATCAAAGAAAACCACATGAGCTTTTCAAGGCTACATCTGGTAAAATTCTTAACAATTTGAGAATATTAATGTTGCAGTAATGATGTGTGTGTGTGTGTGTGTGTGTGTGTCTCCTTCTCTGTGCCCCCTCAGCTCCCATACTGATGTCATTTATCACATTCTTCCTTCTCTGTGACTTAACATTTGTTCATATTTTGTTTAGCTAACCACCTACTCTTACTGACATGAATCAGAACCTCGTATGCGACATGGGGTGACTCAGGATAGGACAAAGGTCGCTCTACTGTGGGTCCCGCTCATTACCTAGAGCCCACCTGACCTCATGCCTAAGCTAATGAAGTCAGAGGCAGCAGTCTGCTGCCTCATTGAACTTCCTGTACATTTTCTGTTTTTGTTTGTTTGTTTGTTTGTTTTTTGAGACGGAGTCTTGTTCTGTCCCCCAGGCTGAAGTGCAATGGCGCAATCTGGTCTCACTGCAACCCCTGCCTCCCGGCTTCTAGAGATTCTCCTGCCTCAGTCTCCTGAATAGCTGGGATTACAGGTGCCCGCCCCCACGTCCGGCTAATTTTTGTATTTTTAGTAGAGACGGGGTTTCGCCATGTTGGTCAGGCTCGGGTCGAACTCCTGACCTCAGGTGATCCACCCGCCTCAGCCTCCCAAGTGTTGGGATTACAGGCGTGAGTCACTGCGCCCGGCCATCCTGTACATTTTCTACCCTTGGCATCAATAGCAGCATCTGACCAGCAGGTGGCGCAGTGAATGCAAGAGCCAAAGCCTTGGGAATTTGTATTTTCTAAAAATCAGAGACAAGTGAGATGTTACATAAACACCTTTTAAAATATGTACAGAGGTTGCCAGATTTGTTTTTAATTAGTGTATTTGGAAAAAATGCATTCTCATTTGTAGAAAATTTATATAATACAGTTAGAGTGAAATTTCCCCATCCCTACTTCCTTACCAAAAAGGAACTTTTATGTTTCTCTCTCTTTCCAGACTTTTTTCCATGCACTAAAAACGTATAATACTTCTAGGAATATAAACTTTTTTTTCAAAAATGGATCATACTGTATTATTTTACAAATTATTTTTCCACTTAATACATCTTAGACATCTGTGTGTATTTGCATGTGTATGCGTACACATATTTATATTATTTAATTGTTTAAAAATTTCTGCCTAGGATTCTATTGAATGACTATTACATGGTTTATTTAACAGTTTTTCTATTGAGACATTAGTTGTTTTTCAGTTATCCACTATTAGAAACAATGAAATCCACATCATTTATGTGTATTTCTCTAATATAGATACTTAGCTTGAAGATATGTATTTTTTAGTTGTTTAGAAAGACACTCAAAAGAGGCAGACTAGGCCGGGCCAGTGGCTTACGCTTGTAATTCCAGCTTGAGGTCAGGAGTTCAAGACCAGCCTGACCAACATGGTAAAACCTCGTCTCTACTGAAAATACAAAAAAAAAAAAAAAAAAAATTAGCTGGGCATGGTAGTGGGAGCCTGTAATCCCAGCTACTCGGTGGGAGGTTAAGGCAAGAGAATGGCTTGAACTCGGGAGGCAGAGGTTGCAGTGAGTGGAGACTATGCCACTACACTCCAGCCTGGGTGACAGAGTAAGACTCTGTCTCAAAAAAAAAAAAAAAAAAAAGAAAGAAAAAAGAAAAAAAAGAAGAAAAGAGTCAGACTAGAGGACTGCCACGTGACGTGAGGATTCACAGTCAGTAATAATCAGGGCACTGTGGTCTGGCTGTCAACTGTCCCAGAGGGAGGAAGCTGGTGACGTGGACACACAGCTATGTCCACTCACCTCCCAGCTGCAGTCAGCACAGTAGCTCATTTGACTCAAAGTCAAAACCACCAGGGTCCTGACAATCCAGTGTCTGCTGAGGAGGAAAGTTCTTTATTTGTTATCAGATGGAGTGGTGTGACCACTGCAGGCAGCCAGTGAAATGAAACAAGGATTGGAGTGAGCAGGCTGGAGGGATTCTGATTGGCAGTTGTGTTCACAGCTGTGCATTAGGGGAGGTGGTCTGTGGTGGAGTGGTTTTAGTTCCTCACGTATGATGTATTCCCTGTTTTTGCAGTTGGCCGCCCGATCCCTGTTCGTCAGATTCTGCACCCGACCGAGGAGCAGATTGAGGAGTTACATCAGACCTATATGGAGGAACTTACGAAATTATTTGAGGAGCACAAAGGAAAGTATGGCATTCCAGAGCATGAGACGCTCGTTTTAAAATGACTTGACTGTAAATAAATAAATAAATAAATAAAAATGTCTTGACTGTAATAAGGCATAAAGGACAAGAGACCATCCTATTGTGAGAATAAATATTTTAAAGAAGTTTATTATTTTTCTTTCGCCTGTGATATCAAATTTGCAACAGAAAAGTATTATTTATGGTGATGAATGTTGGTGTATCTGTGGTAAATAAAAACACAGTAGATGTCTGTAGGGTAAGGTTGGAGATGACTATAAGACATCTAATAATTTTGCTTGCTTATGAAGGCGAAATCATTTTACAGGTTATGAACAGATTTAGAATTATTCATGTGCTCTGAAAAACAAAAGAAACTTCAAAAAATAATTACACCCGGCCCGGCACAGTGGCTCACGCCTGTAATCCCAGCATTTTGGGAGGCTGAGGCAGGTAGATCACTTGAGATCAGGAGTTTGAGACCAACCTGGCCAACGTGGTAAAACCCTGTCTCTACTAAAAATACAAAAATTAGCTGGGCGTTGTGGTGGGCACCTGTAATTCCAGCTAACAGGGAGGCTGAGGCAGGAGAATCGCTTGAATCTGGGAGGCAGAGGTTGCAGTGAGCCGAGATCGTGCCACTGCACTCCAGCCTGGGAGACAGAGTGAGACTCTGTCTCAAAAAAATAAAATAAAATAAATAAAATAATAATAATAACAATAATAATTAGACCCTTTTACTAAACATCACAATAACTTAAGGTGGTGTTTTCACAAAGTGTGACAACTGTCGTTCAGCACAGCCAGCCCATTTGGGAGACAGTATGTAAAGTAGTTTACCATATACAGCTAGAGGAAATATTTTTTTCTGCTTGAACAGGACATTTGTTAGTGAATAAAGATACTTTTAATGCTTAGACAGTTTGAGCCTTTGGTCATGTCAACAACGTATTTTTATACAATAGTGCAGGATTTTTATGCCATTTTCAAAATGGGATGAATCTGTCTTACGAAAACTCATGTGGGCAGGAGCATGGCTCCTCATTTCTATTCATGCTTAGAATCATGCTCCTTTGCTGTAGAGAAGGAAATCTATTTGGAAAATATGCTTTTGCACATGGTTCAGGACTAGAAATTCTGGAAATTCCAAAAAGTTTTCATGCTAATAGAAATGGTTTTAATTTTATTCCTGAATGGCCTTTTCATTATAAAATAATCTCTAAAAGAAAGTGCTGGCCAGGTGCGGTGGCTCACGCCTGTAATCCCAGCACTTTGGGAGGCCGAGGTGGGTGGATCACCTGAGGTCAGGAGTTCGAAACCAGCCTGACCAACATGATGAAACCCCCTCTCTACTTAAAATACAAAAATTAACCGGGTGTGTTGGCAGGTGCCTGTAGTCGCAGCTACTCAGGAGGCTGAGACAGGAGAATTGCTTAAACCTGGGAGGTGGAGGTTGCAGTGAGTGGAGATTGCAGCACTGTACTCCAGCCTGGGCGACAGGGTGAGAATCCATCTCAAAAAAAGAGAGAGAGAGAGAGAGGAAGGAAGGAAGGAAGGAAGGAAAGAGCGAGCCCTCCCTGGTGAGATATGACCAGTTCCCAGTTCACCGGGCTTAGGACTCTTCTGTAACCCAGCATGAGCAGGGACCTTGTCCTTCCTGCTTCCTGACATCCCTTCAGTGCCCAGGTCAGCTTATGGTCTTAGTAGACACAAAATAAGTACTTGTTTGATGAATGTATTTATAGCTGAACATGCAAACAAACTTTGCCATTAGGCAGAGAATTTTTAAAACTGTACCATAGGATGAGACCTGTTTTAAGATAAGACCCACTTGCAGAAGGAGAATATTTGCTGTGTCTGATTGTTCTGAACCGGTCATCAACAATACCATAAGCTGATTCACAGGGAGCAAGTCAGAAAGAGGTTTCCGATAATTACTCAGTAAGTGTTAAGTAACTAGTCAGTCAACAAGAAGAATGTCTAGTTTCCAACCTATGTCCACTGCTAGATGTTTGTTTCTGTGCTTCCTCTTCTCTAGGTGTTCGAAGGCAACTTCAGGGAGCTGCCTCCCAGCTTATTGGTAATATGTCTTCAGTCTTCCAGTTTTTAAATATTCAGCTCTGGGCTAGAGCCTGGATTGAGATTTAGTCACAGCAAAACACAATCATGCTGGGTAATGCCTTGGGAAGGAGAGCATGTCACCCACAAAAAAAAAAAAAAAAAACCCTGAAACTTCTCAATTGTTCTACATGAAGTTTTTTTGGGCCAGAATCCCTTTGACTTCACCCTAGTTGAGCAATCCAGGGGTCCACTGACCTGTGGGCTTGAAATTAGTTCAATTTTGGTCAAAGCAGGACCTTTAACTAATTTTGTTTAAGCTCATGAGTTGTATCCCCTGGGAGAAGTTTATTAAAAGTCCATGTCACATCATCTTTGGCGATTTCACGGAGGTATGAGTTTTAATCTCACACCTAGTAGTGAGGAGGCCAAGCTGACCAACCGATATCCACTGGATTATCTAGCAGGCAGTTAAAGCCCATGCTGGTAAATCAGAGGCATTAAAAAGTGAAAAAAGTTTGCTCGCATGAAATTGTCTAGAATTTTGCCATTAAAAAGTCTAGACAAAGCAACTTTAATTTTGGCATACTTAAAATGTATTTTTCAGTACACACGGCAGGGTGTGTGTAGGATGGGTTTTATCTCTTCACATATTACAATCTCTAGAGGTCTTAATTTGGCCATGCGAGAAGTCTTTTTATGTATTCAAAGCATACCTGTAAGTTTCATATAGCCCTGTAGATTGCTAATGAATTTTTTCACATGAATTTTTGCTATCAGACAAATGTTGGCCATATTCACTAGTATGGTTTGATGGAGATATCTTCTGTTGTAAAGGTCCCCATCAACTAGGTAATGGCACATAAATTTTAAACAGTGGCCGGGTGCGATGGCTCATGCCTATAATCCTGGCACTTTGGGAGGCTGAGGTAGGTGGATCACCTGAGGTCAGGAGCTCGAGACCAGTCTGGCCAACATGGTGAAACCCCTTCTCTACTAAAAATACAAAAATTAGCCAGACGTGGTGGTGCGTGCCTGTAATCCCAGCTATTTGGGAAGCTGAGGCTGGAGAATCGCTTGAACCCGGGAGGCAGAGGTTGCAGTGAGGTGAGATTGCGCCATTGCACTCCAGCCTGGGCGACAAGAGCAAAATTTCATCTCAAAAAAAAAAAAAAAAATTTTTTTTTTTAAACAGCAAAGCAAAACAATGATAACAGAAATAACCCTAGGACACTATAAGAGAAGCATTTTCTTGGGAAAATGCGCATGTATGCTGTTTGATTTGGACATTTTTCCCTGTGTGTCCATTGCACTCTGGGTGCAGCCTGAGTCATTGCTTTTGTCTTGCAGCTAGAAGCATATGAAATTGTTGATGATCAGCTAAGTCTGTTATGCTCCTGATGAAGGTTGCAGCTTCAGTGCTTATGAAGGCCAGCCAAGTTTGACCTTTTCAAAGGGGAACAGTAAGGGATGCTAGATGTTTTGCTGCAAATCCCTTGCAACTACTATGAAAACATCAACATGTGTATACTTTAGGGATGATGGGTGAAACTTTATTGTATGCATAGGATTAAAAGTGAAATCCCTGCTTTCGGCAGAATGTATGTTTCTATCATGGGAAACATGGAGGTGGAATCTGGTTATAATGTTCACACATCTGTAACTTTACATCTCTTTCAAACTACCTCACTGATGCAGGCTACTAAAGTTTGTGATAAATATGAAAACAGTTTTGGGGTGCATTACCTCATATTCTTTTCCTCTGACAAGAGATGCCATTGACAAAATTTGTTGATTGATTGCTTTTTCCAGTAGCCCAGGATGGCTAGTTCTCATATTTGTGTTTTTTAACCTAAGTGGCCAAATGTCTATTTGTAGGACTGGAGGAGTTACTTCAAGTAGAATTTGTATATCTTTGTAAGGGAGAAAAACAGGGCAACTTCTAAAATAACCACCCAGTTGCTCTAGTTTCTCTAGGATAGCAAACAGAGAAGCAGTTATTTATATTTAAAACAAAGGGATTTCTCTAATACCTTATATTTTTATTGTTATAGTCAATCCTTCCCAAACACCTCCAGCTTAGTGCCTTACTATCTTATATCAAAAGGAGAAAGTTGATCTCAGTCCACGTTAACGTATAGGATGATGAGTTCTTCAGTAGCAGATCCATGTCTTGTTTGCATTTCAATCCCGACCCGGACAGAGGAGGTCGCTAGTAGTCTCTTGGGGAATGTTTGTAGTACTAACCTAGAAATCTGGTGGACTGTGTCAAAGAAGCCAAGTTTTAGCACTAGAAGGGACTTCATCATCTGTCTAATTATTCCTTCTGCTGATGAAGAAGTTGAACCCCAGTGAAGTTTCATGCAGATTAAATGTGACTCCATGTTCCTATTACTCTGCCCTAGATTGAGCAGGAGGTACTGCTAGTCCATGATTGCCGATTAATAAACCTAAAAATCCTCATGTAAAACAGAAGTGTCAAAAAAAAGTAGAGTGTGATTAAAAATCCACTTGAAGCAAGGGATTAAACAATGCAGAAGCAAGCTGTCTTATTGGCATTGAGAATATTTTTCTTTCTGGGGGCCAGTACACCACATTGTTGATTTTTCCCTTTTGTAAGAGCTATTTTGGTGCTGTGTCTTGGGCAAAGTCCAAGTTTTCAACATCAAGTTTAGCCTCCAGAGTCTTATGTGAATAAGGCAGTGAATAAGGCAAGGTGTCATATGCCCATGACAACTGATGGACCCAGAAAAAAATCTTCACCATCAGTCGTGTTGTGATCATGAGTGCAGGCCAGAGCCTGCAAATCCTATTACTCAGACAGAGGTGGTGGCCGGGCTTCTGTCACCTCACTGATGGTGCTAAGCCCAGACTCAATTCTGGCTCCAGCCTCATTCAGCAGAGTTATCTCAGCTGCTTTTTTTTTTTTTTTTTTTTTTTTTTAAATAGCTCTTAGATTCTGGTTAAGAATCATTTTAGGCCCTCTTGAGAACAGACCTGATGTTCCTGGCATTCCCCATGGCTGCTTAATTCTCTCCTACTCCATTTCCAGACCAGCTTGGAGCCTTAGATCTGTCTGGTTGGATTCCAGACCCTGCAGTAGTGGGTATGCAGTGATGTGGGGACAATCAGAGAACGAGAACCTGGTTGCCCCACTCTTTTCTACTCTCCAGTCTTCTGTTTTAGATAGTCCTTCAGCCTCTGGTCTTCTGCTAGCTGACTAGGTGACCTGGGCTCTGTTCTTTCCTAGGTAAATAGAGTTAGGAGTGAATGATCCTCCAGGTCATTTCTGCCTGTATCTTATGGTTTCTGCCTGACCTTTTATCTGTCAAG